AAATGAACGAAATTTTAAAATTAAAGTAATATAAATTACTTTCAGGATCAAAATTTATATTTTATATTGCAAACATGTTATAGGTAAGGTATATTTGTACGTGAAAATGTAGTATAACTTAATTATTTTACATGTTGCAAAGCCTAAACTCCGTTATACAAAAGTGAACTAATTGCAACAGATATATCGATCTCCGCTTGTTTTGATGCTAAACATATAATAAATATCTATGTATACGTAGATGCATTTTCGGCTCTGCTACCGCTCTCCCGCCCAGGCCATCGGAATAAATTAAATTTCAACAAAATAAATGAATAAAGGAATCAAGCGACATGTATAACTTAAAATAACATTTGATTAAGAGCTCATTTGGATTTAATAGCAATGAATGAGCTTGTAGAGACATCAGATTAATTGGAAAAGCAGGCAAGATGAAAAATTAGCAACCGCCTTCGCCGGGAATCGAACCATGGACCTCTGGAATACCGGCCCAATGTGCAGAACCACTACACCACAAAGGCACGCTAGGAAAGTGGGAGAGATACCTTATAAGCTGACGCACTGGCGATGGAGGCTATGCTTGGAACTGGATGTTTTATTTATTATTTTTGTTCACTTTAATATTCTTTTAACTTAATTTTTGCAACCTGATTTTACTTGACTTTTGAGTTATTAAATTAATTAAATTTGAGATAGTTTACATCTCTACAAAATTTTGTGATAAAAATAAGGAGCGTGACCGATTCTTTAGGTAACTTCGTTTGTTGTTGCACGAACTGGCTTGAATACGATCTTATGGCAAAACGTTGATTTAGCTAAATGAATCGGGACCTAGCCTTTAAATCAAATCAAAACTGTATATCTTTGGCTAACTCACTTTTCATTAAAAAAGACTTTATCTGAATCTGTCATCTTTTAGAGCAGTTTATTTGGAGATTATATTTTATTTAGTTTTCAAATATTTAAATTTTTTGAGATCATGTGAAAGAAATGTTTATATACCCAAGAAAATTTTAATATGTTTATAACTTCATCAAAAAATTATTATTGCTATTCAGGATAAATTTAGTACCATAATGTACAAATTTAAATAAAGGCGGCTTTTTAAAATTAAAGTAACTTAAAGTTCTTAATTTTTTTAAAATTCATTGCACTTCCATATCCATATGCAAGTATCTTCTGATCAACTGAGTGAATGCAGAAATGAAATGGCAAAAATAGGCTTGTTCTGGCTGTTTTTCATTAAAAAAATTACAATTTCTTTCGTATTTTAATAATGCTTATCGGTTGGTGTATTATTTAGCATTTTCCAAATCATAAGTTAAAAACAAATATTTCAGAAGATTTATCCACAGTTTTCCTAAACTGATATTTATTAAACACTTTTTTGGCTGTCTCGGCTATTTCAGTCAGCACATGTTTGAACTTTCATTCGAAGCTTTCATTGAAGTATCTCAGCATAACATATCTACAAAGTGACTTTTTTTAAATCTTGTTTTCATTAATGAACGGAAGTACTAGCTAAAGAATTCTTCTACGGTGATATATTTCGAAGAGAAAATTTGAAGTGACAATTTTCGCATTTATGTTAGACCCGAGGGAAAACACCAAAACTCTGTATAATGTTGTCGTTGTTGCTTATGCTCACTTGTCTGATGCAGTCTAGGATCTAGGATCGTATCTTTTCTTCTGGCATCAACTTCTAGGAGTTCTAACCAGTAGTTAAACATTTTACCAAAGGCCCTTAATAATCATAATAAAATAAGAGGTGTATTGAAAAATACACCACACCCGAAGGCGAGCTCGAAGTCATGAGATAAACTCAGTAAATAGTCATTTTTAAATGCAATTAAATGGCATGTCATTAGCAGTGGTCGGTGCAAAATAAATCCTAAGTTTCATAAAATTGCTGAATAAAACGTAAAATAAGACTGTAGAAGTTCAAAAAGGCGAATTTGAAGAGATAATAATGTCCTTATTCTTCAGAAACACAATTCGGGTACAGTATAATTAATTAATCATGCAAGAAAATTTATTTCTTTAAAGTTACAGAATAAACAACACGTGATGCGAGATGGCCAGTAGCGAGTGAAGGAGTCATAAGACCGCGAACTAAAATTTTTCACTGTAAGCGAAGTCTTTGCTATAAAACACTTTACAGTACTAAATAAATTCTTGGTTAAATAGAAATAATAAGTAAAATAAGTAAGTAATATAAGTTGCAATCGAAGTCCATAACTTAATAGCCGGGTACTGCGAGTTTTTCATTTTTTCAAAGAAGTTGTGTTAGTAGTTAGTATTTGATCGTGAATCGGCAGAATCTTTAAATCCTTATGAATTTGCGCGTTACGCACAAACCAAGGTGCTTTGGTAATTAATGAATGCTTCGAAGAATCTTATTCTGTAAGACGTTTATTTTCTGGCGTTCAGTTTTTCCAGCAGTCGCCCATGCAGGAACTGCATAAAGTAGAATTGGTCTGATGAGGGTGAAGTTTTCTCTTGATGTTTAGATTTAATTTAGATTTCCTTCCAAGCAGGGAGTAAAGAGACATGAATGCTGCATTAGCTTTATTGATGTATACTGGATATGATCCTTGAAATTTAAAGCTTTGTCGACCTACACTCCTAAGTATTTATATGAGCTTGCTACAGGAACTGGTGAATTATCTATTTTTATATTGTAGTTAACAGGATAAATTTTCCTGTATCTGCGGTATAAAACAACACAACAATTACCTGCGTTAAGTTTAATTTTCCAATCTTCACAGTATTTGTTGATTAGATTAGCTTGCATTTGGAGTTTGTCAAGAGCATTTTGTGGATTTCTAGAACTGGTTAAGATAACTGTATCGTCAGCATATTTATAAATACTTGAGTGTAGTGGGACAGGCATGTCATTTATGATAATATTAAAATATTTCGGTCCTAAAACTGAACCTTGAGGGACGCCCCGGAAAATCGTTCACCCCGGGGGGTGATCAGGTCTGAGGGTCTCCCATCCCTGACTTTCGGCTCGCCACATATTTAGAGTGCCGCCATGCCGCGCGACACTATACATTTACAAACATCCATGCCTTCTCCGGGATTCGAACCCGGACTCTTCGGCACGGCAGTCAGCAACGCTAACTACTATACCGGTTGGCCTGCACTTTCAATAATACCATCCAGAATAGGACTCCACACTAAATACTCTGATGGGAAGCTCCATCATTAGGTTAAATGGGTTGTCTATTAATTATTCACAGCAAACCACTAGCGGTGGATGTTCTTTTTGCAAAGGATTTTCGAAAATAAATCTCCTTGTATGTATGGGAGAAATCACGAGCATGCTTTACTGCCAAGCTGTTGAGTATCGAACCAGCGATTCAAGTCAGTCTGGTGTTACCTATTAGGATTGAGCATTTTCAAACATTAGTCAAAGATTCCATTTCATCTAGTATCTTAGCCCTCCTATATCAAGTTAGATTAGGTAATAAAATTATGACAAAATAGAAAAACGTTAAAGATAATCAGCTATAGAAGGATATCTTTCATTGACGGTAGAGTTTTTGTGCTTAAAAGGTAATTTACATGCTATACTTTGCTTAAAAGGTAATTTACACTACTTTTAAGAAAAAAATACGTTAAGAAAAAATACTTTTAAGAAAAAGCTCAACTCGTAGAGAAAAGTTTTGCTAGAAATTAAGTTCAAAGTGAAACCGTCAGCTTTCGACGATTTTATGCGCAAAAAAAGAAATCTTCAAATCATGATAGTCTGTGAAAATAATGGTCGTAATTCAAAGTTTCGCAGAGGAATTAGAAGACATATGTAAATTTATTTAAAATTTTCGCTGAGATTCTGCAGACAGTTTTTTCATTATCATTGTGGTTTTGTACTCTACACATGCTTGCAGTAAAATTATTTATTTAAATGTCTTTACACAATCAGTCATTCCAGATTTCTCTCTGTCACTCTACCGTCTTAATGGATGCGTAATGCAATAATGTAATGCGTTATTGTATAATGCAGTAATGCATAATATTGAAATGTGCATTACTGCGCGGTAACGTATAATATTGAAATGCATACCAATCTGCTAAACGTTTCAAAAAGTCTCGCTGCCTATTTATATTTTACATTTCTTTCTGAAATATAATCTCAGTGTTCTTCAACCTTAAGCTGTATATCGTCCTTCCTATCCAGGTCTAGGTCTATCGGCTAATTTTTTTTTTTTTTTAACCTTAATCTACCATTTTAAACCCTTTCATTCTTGAATATAAAATAAAGTGTTTCATAAAAAATTCAGGACATGGTTGTAATAATTTATATCCGATGTAAAGAATTTTACCATACAAAATTAATTTATATCATGGGAGGAAGTGAGGGATTTTACTTCTTTGTTCCAGAAGGGTTTTAGTATGATAGATATGCGTAACAGCAGGAACTACCGTGTTTACTCGCATAATAGTCGCGGCTCTAGTGTAGAATTGGGTGCTCCTTCGATTAGCGACAATTTTTTGTAAAATTTTGGCGATGAAATCTCATTTCTGGTTAGTGTAACTTTGCTTTAGCCTCCTGATTTTTTTTAAATAAAAAAAGAAATAATACATGGACAAATTTAAAGCAGTGCGTAATGCCTAGTTTGTGCAATTCTGGCATGTTTTTTTAAGTGAAAACTAATCGATGTGTACATGGACACAGAGTTTATGCAATTCTTTGACTTCTTATTTTGGTTTTGTGTAGTGGCCATCTTGAAATTGTGTCTTCCTGGTGTCGATCTTGGCGTCAAAAAAGAATCGCCAAAAAACAAGGGGCACCCAATTGTAAACTTTTACCATAGTCGCACGTCGCACTTTTCTTGCCAATTTTCCACTGTGAAAGTCTGAGTGCGATTATTATGAGAGGAAATGTACTACACAGTCTCGTACAGTCATAATGATTTTTTCTGCTTCAAAACGGGGGGGGGAAGGTGACAATTAAGCGAGTAAACACGGTAAATAACCTAAGATTTCGGAACTGGTTTTTGTCGAAAGCAAAATTTATTTTAAAAAATAAGTATTATACTTGATACAGCATAAAGCAATCCTTAACATTCGTGGCACTTTCTGATTCATTGTCAGTGATGGATTGACAATTGTCTTTAGACGCAGAAGATAAGGCTTCATCAAAAAGTTCTTCTAGTTCTCCAATGTTCTTTTCATGTTAGTTCTTAAAAAAAAAAAAAAAAAAAAAAAAAAAAAAAAAAAAAAGACAGATTTACAAATCTAGTCGAAAATAAGTGTATCAGAGAAAACTGACAAAATTAATTAAAAAAAAAGTAATGATCAATAATAAGGAAATGGTTCATACTGATAACTGTCAATACTCACAGATTCGTTTTAGGCCAACCACAACTAACTAAACTACAATATTTATTCTCGTTATTACAACAATTGCATTAACACTTACATATGCTCAACAATTAGTTCTAATCTCAAAATTATTGTATTCTTACGATTCGCAGCCATATCGAAAGTCTAAAGTCCGGTAAAATACAATTTGCTTTTTTTTTTAATGTCAAGCTATGACATGTTTTGAACATTAGTGGTGCATATTGTACCGATAGAGACAAAAGGGTTGCTTGCTGAAGCTTTATTAACGTGCAATAAATACATAATTCTTTCGAAGATTTTTGAAACTACATCAGTAACTGCCATGGTATTCTGCATGTAGTTTTTGCTATAATGATCAATTATAATTCTTTTATTTTATGGTTATTTTTTAAAAATAGTAATATGAAAAGATTTCCATTTAGTTTACTTGATTTGAAACAACAGGAAATTTAGACGATACAGTATAAAGTAATAAACACAATATCACGAAACGGAAGCTGTATCGTACTGTCAAGTAAAGCGTTATCTCTTTTAGGCGATTCCATAACAAGCAGAAGCTTTTAAGAAAATACAAAATCTTTAAGAAGCATGCAAGAAACTTATGTTGGTATTATACGTGGTGAAATTTTCTCATCGTGGTTTGTTCTGGGGCATCGTACGTACCACCAATATAAAAGCTGAACCTGCACTGGAAAGTAATAATAATAATAATAATAATAATAATAATTTTCAAGAGAAATGATTGTACAAGAAATAACATATCCATATTTTGAATGAATACATTTTTCTAGTTGTTTTTTAAGCGTGTTAGGTATTTCTAAAATGCTTTCTTTGTTAACAGAAATTTTAAGATTCAATTAGTTGATTATAAACTTAAATATATAATATATTTACGTTCTGGAAGCTGTCAATTTAAGCAATGAAATAAAATAAACACCTAGCAATATTTTTTACTTTTATTATTTATTTTTATTTTATTTTGGCCAAACCCACCATCATTCCAAGATCTCTGCATTGCATGCATGCATAGCTCCCATCGAAAATTCCAGTAATTTTGTCAGCGTTTCATTAACTCTAGCTTCCCCAATCACAACCACTCCTTGCCAATTTAGTTTCTCCTCTACGTCCACAATTCCTGGAAACGTTATCAGAAAAGGATTCTCCTTCCTGTCACTGACCAGCCCCTCACTAACCGTCAATCAGCGATCCAAGCGGGAGAGTGGAAACTGATATTCACCAGTGCGCGCACGTCGTAAACTACACTGACCGGCTCCTCCCATCTGCATTCCTCTTATGGGTAACCCAAGTGACACATGAAACGTGGGTGATGAATTAACTCTAGGACATACTCGGTTTCCTTTATGTCCTTTCCCTGCAGGGTTCCTAAATTTACCTTTCTTCTCACGCTGTCTTCCACTGTCTCTTTGGCGAATTCCTTCGGCCGGGTCGGGCTTAACTTCGTAAAGAATAATAATGGCCTGTTACAATTCCCATTATTAACTTGATAAATGAGACGGTTTCAATTAGCGTTGTAAATTAAATTGACTTCTCGTCGGTGACACTAAAGAACTAATTGGACTTAGTTGGCTGTTTGCATCAATGGGAGATCCATTTTGGATCCTAAGTCGGACACAGAATGGCTAGTTGCATGCATTTTTTTCTTTCTCAATTGTTGAGTGAATCTTTTCCCTCCCTTTTACTTGCCACTGCCACAGTTAGAAGTATTTAAAAGTATACTGCATGTAAATAAGCTCTCCAACGAATTTATAATAGTCGTCTTAAAAAACATGCAAAATTTAAAAATGATAATTTGTAGGATACAAGCCTGTTAATTTCTATATAATGTACATTTAATTCTTGTTAATTTCTATGCAATGTGCGTTTTTATTAAATTTATATAATCAGTTTTTGCAAAATAATCACTTTATGTCCATCTGCACAGTCACTACCCAGAAATTAAGACTGCGAAATTCGGACTCCGGACATCCGGATTTCCAATTATGGGCACCGTTTACTTTTTCCAGCTAAACTGAGCTTACTATCATTTACGAAGCCTCGAAATATGCTTCTGAGATCCAAATACATTAATTACTTGGTAAGGAATGCACATTCAGTCTTTCTAAAATTTTAGGATTGTTAAATTACGCTCCACTACTATGCATTTATCATCTTCGTACCGTATTAGATTTAACCACTGTGCAAAAAGGAAAGATTTTAATTTATCTTCCATGCAGTTTTACAAATAGGAGGATATTTGGAGGGATGTAAAATTTTTAAGTTAACTTTGAAGTTCTAACTGCATTACTTAGCAAACTGAGGGATTTCAAAACATTGAAAACGTATTTGTTGATAATTTAAGCGAAAAAGTGTTTGTTGATCATTTAAATTTTAAAATTTTTTTAAAGATATAGCTCACGAACAGAACTGAAAAAACACTTGAATTTACTTTGGTTTGATTTATTTGATCATGGCAGAAAACTTGAGGGTTAGCTGCCTAGGAATGCCTTTGTTGAGGACTTTCTAAGGGAAACTGACTTTCATACTCATTACACATGGATGGAAACACCCAACACTTAAATTTATATTAAATCCAAATGTTATTTCATAAACATCTGTAGCAATAATTAACAAAAGATATTGTTAATGCCATATATTACATACTTGATACAAAATTATTTGGGCCCACCAGCGGCCGAGCAGTAAAGTCGCTGAACAGCGGTAGTTCGGTCCGAGGTTCGAATCCCGCGAACGGGCTGGCTGCATGGGCGTTTTCGTGGTTTTTCCCATGTGTAACGTGTATACGAGCCAGTTTCCCTTAGAAAGTCCTCCACGAAGGCATCCCTCCCCTTAGGCAGATAGCCCTAGTGTGCTTTGCCATAATTAAATACACCAACACCACAAAATTATTTGACCTTTTTAAAAAACTGTTTCGTTGATTTAAATAGTAGAAAAGAGTATATAAAAACATATTAAGAAATTACGCATTGTATTATTAAGGTGGTCACTTTAAGTCAATAAATAAGAGTAATTTAGTTTAAATTTACTGAAATATAGAAAAAAAATGTTTTTGTTTAATTTTAAATTTTGTAAAGATACAAACAAGATAATGGTTTCAGTTTTAGAGCCTCTACGTAAAAATAATTAAATAAATGAAACAGGATTAAAAATAAAAAATGAAATAAAAATTAAAATAATAATAATTTTATTTTGATTGAAATAGAATGAACTGGGTGTTTCGAAAAATAAATAGTATAATTTCATTTTGTTTAGAATGTGAGTTTTATTTTGCTTAACAAGTAATAATAATAATAATAGTGTACTTGTTGGAAAAAAATGAACAGAAAATACGATGCCCTCTCTTGCTTTCAACTAAATATGCAATCAGATTGCAGAAATTTTTCAGATTTTAAGGATAGGTGGATGAGCTGTTGTCCCAGTTAGTTGGATATTTGATGTTCTGTGTTTGAGAGTAATGAAGCACAAAAAACAATTACGGACTGAATTTTTCTTTATGTAACATTTTAGCTTCAAATCATTTTAGAATTCAAATATACTTGGTGAAAAAGTGGAAAATTAAAATGTAATATCTTATTTCATTCAATGGACTCTTTTCAGAAGAACTGTTTAATCTCCGACTATCATTTGACATTTATTTCTTCATCACTTCATTTCAGATCATTATATTCTACATTCCTCTTTAAGATCTTTGGTTGCAAAGTATTACCTTGCTTAATGGCCTGATTGAATTTCTTTCGACTTCATTATCAGAGGCTCATTTGAATCCATTTCAATTACTCATTCCGGCAGAAAAGAAGAGAAATAAGGAAACCAAAAAAAAAAAAAAAAAAAAAAAAAAAAAAAAAAAAAAAAAATTGCAAGGTGAGGGTAATTATTCAGGCATTCAAGGCTATGGATAATACCTGATGATGTCTGAATTAGTCTCATTATCTGCTTAATAGGAAAGAACTATTTTATCCCGTCTATTTTATCCCGAGGTAAATGTGCAAGAAATTTAAAAATCAGCGCTTATTGTCTCAATACATTTATTTAAGTAAGGGGGAAAATGTTAAAATCAAGATATTTTTAATCTTAAATAAACTTTTTCTTATAGTTTTAATTATCATTTCTGCAAAAGATCAAATTCAGGAATAAAATGTGTATGAGAAACATTTAAATTTACACATTTTGAGTTAAATGCGCTCTGTGTTTTTTGTTAAATGCACTTTAGTTAAAGGTAAAAAGCAAGCTTTAGATCCCATAAAATATTCTTTAATTATATGTGACTAAAAATGCAATCAGTCCTAAGTTGCTAACAATGACTTTTTTTAAACAAAATTTTCAACAGGGAAATTGAAAGTAATTGAGTCAAAAAAAATTTTTTTTTGCATGTGTCATTTCCATGCTGTTCCTTTTGCAGTTTATAAAATTCCATTAACGTAGTGTTTATAAAATTCCTTTAGTTCCTGAAATTCTCAGATGGGTGTCCAGCGATATAATTAGTTACATGTAATCAGGAATATTGTGTTAAAAAAAAAACATTTTTAGAGCAACTTAAAATCTTTTTATCTGTATGCTATTTTACATTTTTTAAGTCGTAAAAAAAGAAGAACAAAAAAGAATATTAGTGTCACTAATTTTAAGAAAATTATTTCTTCTAGTAAGCATAGCAATGAAATACCTTCGGTCGCTTTTCTTTCAAGGTCTCCCAATCTGTACGGCGAAGATTATAGTCAGTTCATTTCAGTTTCTATTCCAACTAAAAATCAGATTCCTACTAAAAGTCATAACATAAATCTCTTGATTTAAAAATCAATCAATGTTAGCACTCGCAGTATAGCTGTAAAAATCGATTAATTTTTTAAAATCCCCAGAATTCTGTAAACTATGCTAGAAATTCTGAAAACGTTTTATTTGAATCAACAGATTTCGATCTAAAGCTTAGAATTCTGAGATGATTAGTTTAATCGTTAAATATGGGTAAATAAAAAAATAAATAGAAATGTCATTATGTAATGTACGAAAATTTCGTAAAAAGAAGCTTCAGCAACCGATTTAAAAAAAGGGGGAAAAAATGTATCCCGAATTTCGGAACATTGCTGTAAACTTTGCATTGTTGTCAAAAATAGATATACGCACAAAGTTTTAATAAAGAAAATGGTTTTGGTGAAGTGGGATTCAAGTGTTAATTTTAAGCTTTGAAACAAACAAATAGAAAAATCAACTTAAATGAAACTGTCTATAAGAATGATCTCCTTCTACAATGCCCGCCCTCGTGGTGTAACTGATAGCATGCCAGCTAATAATCGAAAGATGTGTGGTTCGAATTCCGGTGAATGCACAGCTAATTTTCCCCCGTTTCGGGCTTCGGGAACAAAATCTAACACCTCTATAAAATAACCCGAAAAAGTAGATTTACTTTCCTGTAAAATTACGCTAATGTGCTTATCAACATTAAGGTAAAAATCTAGGCATAAATTATTATGTAGGCTGCGTCATTTTGTAGGCATAAATTATTATATAGGCTGCATCATTGTAATGCTAAAATTGGTGCTAGACTTAAATTAACATTAGTAATATTTACATATAATATTAAGGAAATGCGTACTTATTCATGTAAAAATGAAATAATTTTAATTTAAAAATACCTTTTATTCATTTCAGTCAATAAACTACTTGACTAAAAAAAAAAAAAAAAAAAAAAAATCGAAAGCTTTCAGATTTTAAATTACGTCCAAAGGGGCCTTTTTTTAAGCATTTTGTGTGTTACATTTATTTATTAAGTATCACGTTCTTCGCACTTAAACCATAAAATTCAGTTCAACAGCAATATCGCAAAATAATTTTAAATTGAGCATATCTTTAGAATTTCCGCTATACAGTTTCGCCCGCTGGAGATAAAAATGTTTTTTCTGTACAACGTTGCCATAGCTCGCTTTGAAATCTTGAGTTTGTTAATCAAAAATTCGTTAAAATTTTACAAAATAGGAAATCGATAATAAAACAAATTCCAAATTTCAAATTTGGTGTTCCACATGCCCATATTCGTAGGAGGATTAAGTCATTCAAAATTTGATGGCTCTATGCACCGTTGTTTTATCACAATGCGAGAAATGTACATACATTTATGCACATTTTTCATTATTTAAATTCTTCAAATATAATGCAGGACTCTAACATTTGGTGGCAGCAGTTTGAAAAGTGAAAGAGACATTTATAGTGTTCAACGCAAA